GTATCATGTAAAATTATGTTCCTCCACGATGTATTATGAAATGAGATTCTCCGGTGGTTTTACGCTGTAGCCGCAGGAAATGGCATAACGACACAACAATAGGCCCGTAAGAAACAATATCTGGGTGGGCCCCATATGAAGTACAACACCCCATAAAAAAAAACATAAAAACTCTTTAAAATAGCTAGCAGTGAATAAACATCAGGATTCCACACATACATAAAATTACCACTGTCTGCATTGCTATTGGTGTCTTGGTTAAATGGCTCACCATCATGTTGAAATCTGGCGTGTGTTTTGCACCATTACATCTGCAAAGAGACAGTCCACAATTGCGTAGGGGGCCAACCAGGTGTCAGTGACGGGGCCCTTAAGAGGTTGGGGGCCCCTAAGCAACTGCATACTCTTACCGATAGTTACGCCATTGGCCGCAGGTATTTTTTTTACAGTAAAATGCAATCCACAGTATGCACATTTTATGTTTAACTTTGAAACACAAGCGGATCCATTTTCTTTTTAGCAACCTCTAGTTTGATGAGGATTTAAAGTGTCAGCACACACGTTACAGCGGCGTAACGTGTGTGCTGGAACCCCGGAGCAAAAATAACAGAAAACGTATATAAATTGTGCTAAATTAAATATAATTTAGGAATGTCAGATTTGTTTTCCTGCTGAAAATAAACAATGATAAATAAAAAGAGAATGAAAGAGAAAAAAGGTAGATGAATCCATCAGCAGGTGTGGCTTAAATAAAAAAGGGTGTTACCCACCTCTTTAATTTGGTTACAGAAAGTTCCTCAGCCAGTAGCTTTGAAGAGCTGAAGATAGAGCAAGACTGTTTGCAGTGAGAAACCAACAAAATGCCTGGAGAAAGGTAAACAAAATAAGTAGTTTATTTTACTGAATGAATTGATATACTAGACTAATTCTTCAACCAGCATAATAGCATTAGTATTTAGATTAAATGAAATTTGTTTACTTCTATTTTCTCATCTAAAAATCTGTCAAAAAAATAATTGTCTTACTTTATAATTGATTTTAACTTTACAGAAGCCGATAGTGTCTGTTCTCCTTTTTTAATTGATATACTAGACTAATTCTTCTACCAGCATAATAGCATTAGTATTTAGATTAAATGAAATTTGTTTACTTCTATTTTCTCATCTAAAAATCTGTCAAAAAAATAATTGTCTTACTTTATAATTGATTTTAACTTTACAGAAGCCGATAGTGTCTGTTCTCCTTTTTTATATTCTCAAGATGAATAGATCACTAGCCTCTTAGTTAGGGTTAAAAATAAATCCTAAAAATGTTCTTTAGGAGATAAATTACTGACTGTAACGTTGCATGATTTGCCTCAACCAAACCATGAGGCAAATCATAAAATGATAAAACAATTATTCTGATGAACACACTATTTATTTTTGAGTAAATCCTTATTCAGAGCTGCACAGCTGTGTCTTGTGAATTTGTCTGTATGGCAAAAACAGTTAAATTTTTCTGTTCTGCAGATGGAAACTACAAAGGGCATTGTGCCAGTATATTACTGATACTTTAACTTACATGGCAACAGTGAAAGACTTCTCTGAGAGTTTCTCTGAATGGAAAGACTGCAGAGAAATAGAGTACGTGAAAATGATAAGCATCAAGGAAATGGCTGACATTATTGACCCCACCTTCACTAAGTCAGAAAACACAAACGAAGGCAAGTCAGAGGGAAAAATGGCAGCCTTTGGTAAATACTTAAAAAGAGTCTTTCAGATTAACCCAGAGAAAAAACTTGCAGAGCTGGAAAATGTGCTGGATGAAGTGTTAAAAGAAACACTGGAAGGCTTAGAGCAACTTGACATCTTCTTGGACGCAATGGAGAAGCTGGCTGTGACTTCACTGAATGTCTTCACTGAGAACCAGATTCTACACCTTCCTGAGACGATCAGCTTCAACGATGTTCAAGCTGTCATCAAAGATGCAATACAGATCTGCCCTCTACTGCTGGAGTTCAAAAGAGATGCAAAGTCCTTCTTCCTTCCTAAACTTCACAATGTGGAAGTGCTTACATCACAACTGCAAAAGTACATACAGACCACCAAACGTCTAATTCATGCAACAAGGTAAAATTATATTTATAGTACTAAACACAGAGAGTAAATAGTGTTTCCAGAAAAGTAAACTTATGCTCTTTTCACAGTTTTAACTTTGAAATTAGCTTGGAGATGGCTGAAGATATAGCCGTGGATCCAGATGATCTGAATGAAAATGACATGCAAATGATGATAAGTCACATTAAACAACTGGAAAAAACCAGGTTAGTCTGAAACAACGTATGCAAAACATCAATATTTTTCAGGAAAACTTTCTGTTCTAACAATTAAAAAATTTTATTTGAGGTTTTTTTTATTATTCACGGCACAAGTACACGTCTGATGAAATTTCTCTTAATTTTATACCTACAAAGAGTGAAGGGATTTCAGCTTTAAACTCTTCTTTTATGGCTGAATGTTATGGAGCAACAAATTTGGCCCCATAGACTGTTCTAAAAAATAAGTGATTATGCAAAGATTTTGATTAGTTAAATCGCTGGAAATTTTCTAACATCTTGTGTGGGATTTCTCCTGGAACCAAGCTGCTGATAGCAGTCAACACAGACACTAGATTTATGTTAGTTCTCATGTTTTTCTGTTGTCCTCTGTTGCCCTCTTGTGTATGTGTGTTCCTTTTCCTTGTCTCCCTCGTTGTCTCCTCTCACACCTGCTCCTTGTCAGCTCGTTAACCCTCCCTTTGTCTCTGTCTGCTATATATGCTCTCCCTCTGCTCTCACGCTTGGTTGGTTCCTTGTCTTTGCTGTCTTCACATGCTGTGGTCTACGTCCCTCGTCTCTCCCTGGCTCCTAGTGTTTGGTTTCCACAGATGTCTCCATAGTTCTGGTTTGCTTTTCTTTATTAGTTGGATTTTTGCATCCCTGCCATGGTTTACGTTTTTGATTAAATCCACAAGAAATCACCTCAGCCTCTCTGCCTCTGCATTTGGGTCCTAAACCACAACCAACCCTGACAGTATGACTGCTATGTACACACTTTTTACTCTTTTTCATTATATGAAAATAGGTTATAAAATTATTATTTCTTCCACAGGATGGATGAACAGTTTCGGATGGCTTTCCTGTTCCAAGAGGTTTCCCCAGCTGATTTCATCAGAATATTTGATGATCGACTGCCAGAAATGCGGAAGTTTCTTGATGAGTTGGAGCAGTGTGCTGTTCAGTTAGACAGGATGAACAAAGGAGCAAAGATCTCCAGTGTAACAGGAAGCTCAGTTGGAGCAATTGGAGGTGTACTTTCCATTGTTGGTTTGGCATTAATTCCAGTTACAGCAGGAGTGTCTTCAGGGCTTATAATAGCCGGTGTGACGATGGGGGTAACAAGCGGAACCAACAGTTTGGTGACCACTGCGACAGAGGTTGGAGTAAATCATTCTAATCAGAAAAGGGCAAATGAAGCCTTTCAAAGTTTCATGAAAGATTTCCAAAGAATCCAGAATTGTCTTGATGAGGTGGTGGAGCAACCAACAATAAGTTTTGAGCAAAGTAAAGTAGATGTAGCAGTGGTAGTAGGCAGGATCGCTTCTAAAGCAGGTGCCATAGGAACGGGCATTGATTCAATCGTCGATGGTATTTCTGCTTTAAGGGTTCTAAAAGCTAAGAAGGCTGTTGCAAGTGCAGCAAAAGTTGTAACACAAGATGGAAAGGCATTAAGCAAAATATCAGGTATTGCGGCCGATGTTCCAGATATTGGTCAGGCAGCAATGAAAGGACCTCTGGCTCTCTCCAAGGGAACTAGAGGGTTGTGTATTGCACTTAATGCCTTATTTCTTGGTATGGATATCTTCTTTATCACCAAAGACAGCATGAGTCTGGCCAAAGGCACTGAGACTAAACTCTCAAAGTTTCTCAGAGCCAGGATTGCATTATTCCGCTCACAGATCGAGTCATGGGAGAAGATTTGTGACACTTTGCGTCAGAGCAAACTGACCAGCGAAGAAAACAGAGATTTGCTCAAAAAGCCATTTTTCCAAGTGAGAAGGCAACCTAGATTTAAAATGTTGAACCCAATGAAGTAGGTTTGTTGAGCAGCCTATGCAAAAAAGAAGAAATCTATCACAATTATACCAAGATGCAAAGGTTTACTTACTATGCTGAATTTTCCTATTGCTTTTTTAATATATGAATGTTTGTCTTGGCTAAATAATACTTTGATATGATGTTCTTTCAGCTGTAAGTGTAAAGCGCCCGACAGAGGACCTAGAATCCAGCCAGACACATTATGATGTGCTTTAAAGATTTGTTCCAAGAATTCAGGAGGAAAGACAGGAAACTCTGAAAAGGAGATATCAGATTAGAGGGTTGACTGATTCTCAATTCAACAGTTCAACCTGAGAAAAAATCCAATAACCTTCTCAGGATCCCTGAGGAGGGAAGGGAAGGATCCAAGTGCAGTGGTGAGATCACTGCAGGATAGAGCCAGATTAGTGATGCTCGAATGCGACAGATAAACAGAGAAATGCAGACACTAGGATTCTCTGTTCTGGTTTCCAGGAGAGAGGCATTGCTTGTTTTCATCCGGGAACCGAAAAGGATTAAAGCCGATAGAACAGAACCAGGCAGAGGGATCAGTGGGAAAGGTGAGAATCTAGAGCTTTGGACAGAGCCAGGGTCAGAACTGTGGATGTAGAATCAAGCTTCCAGATAATGGGACTAGGCAGAAATCAGGAAAAGCCTGTAAGGTCTGGTGGGGGTAAGGCAAAGGCGAGGTTGGGACAGAAAGGACATCTGAAACAGGTGATCAGGCAGAGAAGGAACACTGACAATCTTCTAACCAAGGGTTTTCAAACCTCTGGCTCTGTCTACTAGTTTGGTCATTGCTTGAAAAGGCTGGAGCACAGGTGGGAGGAATGAACTCTGATAAGAAAGAGCAGGAGCCTCACGGGACCAATCACAGCCAGGAGGCAGAGAGTAATAGAAACCGGAACTAGATGACAGGCCAGAATCAGGACTGTAGGACTGGATATTAAAACCTGTCAACCTTGAAGAATTTTAAAAGAGATTTATTACCTTTTATTACATTAGCCAATTTAAATTTTAAAATTTTATTCTAAATTGTATTTACAGTGAGCCTCACATGTTAACAGGGTAAATCATAGATTAAAGTAAAAACAATATAACAGAAATACAAAAAGAACCCAGTATATGCCTACTAATCATACTCATGAATTAAAAGCCAATTTCATAAGATGAGTTTTTAAAACAGATTCCATTTTTTAAGAGTTCTGGTAGACACAGAAAGGAGACCATTCTAGCGTTTATGTGCTGCAAGATTAAAAGCTATGATTTCTCTGGAACAAGATAATTCAGGAACCATTAACAGCATTAGAGCTGAAGATTTCAGAGCTTTTCCAGGATCAAAAAATATATAGTATAACTATAACAGTGCTACAACTATATTAGTATAGTATTTGCTTTGTTTTAGTTGTCTGAATCACATCATCTTTTGATTTAATTTAATTTTTTGCTTGGCTTTGACTGTGGTCATATAAATGGCAAAACAATATTGAGAAACTTTTCTGTTTTAGTAAATGTTATTTACCTGTAATTTTTTTCTCCGTTCAAATCTTTTATAGAAGCTTTCAAAAAATGGACGCTTGTTTCCCGCCTGGATCTTTTGTACCTTTAAAATCATTTGTTGATTACAATAAACACTGATTAAATTCCTACTTCTTTGGATTATTTAGA